AAAAACGATGCAACAGGGACGAGAAACTGTGGGGAAAAACTAACCGAAGAAGGGAGGCTGTAGAGATGTCATGTCGTTGCCATTACCATTGTGTAATGCAGCAGTCAATCCGAGCGGTGTTGGTCAAGTGATTAGGTCACCGAAACGTGACTCAAAAGTCCGGGGTTCGAACCGCTCCATCGCCGCCCGTCTTCGCTGTTTCTGTACTTTCCCAGGCAGTCTTTGTTTGGCCGCGGACCTCTTCCTGAAAGTTGACTGTACATTTGTATATGCAATTAATAAGAGAGAAACTAAAAAGAATTTTTTTAGATTTTAAAGTTTGGGAAGTAGAGTAAGAAAACTCAGATTTCCGGTAGATACTAAATCATTTTATCTTTCCTTGCCCACAAGCAAATCATGGAACTTATTCTCTTTCTTATAAGGACTATTGTAGTGTGATTTGTTTGGCACAGTCTAAAATCAGACATGTGTGGAATACTGCTAATTCTTTCTCTAAATCCGAGTATTNGAGCGTCTTTCAATGCTAAAGTTCAGTTTCAGTTTGTACACGGAAAAAAAGTATGCAATCAGCGGCACTGAGTTCAATAGAAGCAATGATTTTTGAATCAACCTCGACCTCGACTGAATTCGCTCACTGGCCTATCGTGTGCGTAGGCTGAACCCGCTCATGCATCGAGTCATGCCTGAGCATGGTGATCGATCTATCGATCCATCTTGGAGTGAGTTGTTTTCTCATCAGATCGACCGGGATTAATTACCGGCGGATTTGTTCACTCTAATGCATACTCGATTAGGGGTCAAGGGCAGCTTTCCCACCCTACTGAGATGTCCATCATCATGTAAAAACCAGTTAACTANCTATCACTTAATGGGTGTTTTGCTCCACTTGATCCCGGTTACTTTCATTCACAATGTTAGAACTGAAACTATATTTTGCACCCATGGGACTGTAGTCGTCTTAGAGTGCCGAAGATATTTATGGGTTTGCAGTATGTCCTTTTAGGTTGCGGCAAGGTTCATTCAGTAAACTTCTTTAAGAGTTGGTATTGTTCCTGGTTTCATAACTCCTAATATATTTCTCCGAATAAAAAACTGTTGTATTTTGCTGACCACTCCCATCGCCGCAAAATAGCTTCCGATATCAATTTTGCATTTGTCGATCGAAGAACGTTAATTTTTGGATCACGTCTGTGGGTTACTCAATCTCAAATATGAGAGTCAACCAAAACTTCCCTAATTGACGATTTCAAGTGTCAAGTGTATCACTGTGGACGACCAAACCTCAAGGTTCTCACAAATAACTGAGTGACTTTTACACTTCGTGTCAGGTTTGTGTACTTTTTCTTCCCGTTTGTCGTAATCCCAAGGCGCACTGTCACTTACGCATCCGCATCCCATATGAAGAAGCGAGTTCATTCAAATTTATTCAATTGGCGATCGTCGGTATTATGTAATGGCCCTGCCAAAGATCGAGCTGCATACACACACTGCAGCACTGACGTATCATCATACTCTTTTCGTTTTTCTCTATGTTTCCCATTTCCTCCCTCACACTAACCTAATGCTTAATGCTTTTAACTTTTGGTTACATCACGCGACTAAAATTCAGGAACCAGAACAAACTGAGACCTGTATACGTCAAGTAGAATGGGCTTGTTAGTCTCGAATCAGTCATGAATTTTTCTCATTTACATCCCCGGCTTACCAGATTAATGTATCACACAATTCACTTCACTATTATCATTTTTCACCTGTGCAGCAAACCGTTTCATGCCTGTATATATTCATTTATACAATGTTTTCTATCCGCTCATAATAATTTACTATTTTTCTCCGTTAGTTTTTTTCTATTTCGGTCTACCTACAGCACTAGAAAGCACAGTAGGCACCAGGTTGACTATTACTTTATATCGCTTGGGAGACTAAGTTAGTAGAGCATTCTTTCAGGCAGAAAATCCTCACCGCAGTTACCGTAAAACATTGATCATAAATCTTTGTACTGGGAGATTTTTCTCTTTCCATTCCAATTTGATGTGAAAGTCAGACGGAATTTTTCCCCGCCAAGGTGTCTCCTATAGTATGTGCATAAATGGGAGTTTTTCCTATTATCGCGTCTGATATATAATTACCCCTGGTCCGTTCATCAAACAACTGCAAACACCAATTCATCATCGTCTTTTGTATCAGTCATAGAAATGTGTCTGTCGTGTGTATTCTGGGAATACATTACATGATAGACAGCAGCTATTTCGGTATAAAAAGATCTCAGTACAATTTGTAGTGTCCGTAGGCGGTTTTTCCAGCACCGTATGTTTGTTCAATTGCATTACCTCTGAACAGATGATGTTCGAATCGATCGAAATCACATGATAACGATATCTACA